TATTTTCAAGGGGTAAATCAACATACCAGTGTTTAGTACAGACTTTGAAGTACTCCAGCTTGATATATTTAGTTGATGCTGAACTGGAAGTTCTGAAACTAACCATCAACCCTGAAGAAAGTAATATCAGGCAAGATGGAGGATTAAAGCACTACCATTTCATGTGTGGTTATTGAAGTTACATAAACGAGATAAAAGTTTGCACTACAGGTAGGATAAGTAGATGAATAAATAACATTACAGTATTAATGTTTATTTTAGCTGTTAAGAAGGGTAGTATATGTGAACTGCTTCTAAAAGCCTGTAACGAAACTTCCAAAACTCCCTTGAGATAATTGATGCAAAAGTGTTTTTCTAAAAAAATATTGTCTCGATTTTATACTTGACTATTGATCGGTTATTGAATTCAGACAACAGTTTGGTCAAATGGGTCGAACTTGATGCATTGTTAGTTTCAGATATTATGTTTAATTTCAGATATTATGATGCATTATCTACTTTCTATGTTGGCAATGATGGTTTGTGTTCTATTTCAGATATTATGGTGCATTATCTACTTTCTATGTTGGCACTGATGGTTTGTGTTCTATTTCAGATATTATGATGCATTATCTACTTTCTATGTTGGCAATGATGGTTTGTGTTCTATTTCAGATATTATGATGCATTATCTACATTTTATGTTGGCACTGATGGTTTGTGTTCTATTTCAGATATTATGATGCATTATCTACTTTCTATGTTGGCACTGATGGTTTGTGTTCTATTTCAGATATTATGATGCATTATCTACATTCTATGTTGGCAATGATGGTTTGATTCATGTCCACAAAATTGATAAGGTAAATGTAAATTGAATTAATTTTTAGCGATATTAATTTCAAGACTACCATGAAATTTGTTAATGTCTTTAAATTGTGAACATTTGTTACAACAGTATGTACTATAAAAAGTGCCCTCTAGAGTCATTCAGAAATTTACACAACCTTTGTTTTTTCAACCCTGCATGCTATTCACAGCACCTAAGCTAATCCCACTGTGATGAGATTTAGGTCATTGCTTAAAACGTCTGGTTGTACTGAATAATTAACAAAGACTATAGTTTATACTGACTACTATTTTCATAATAATGGTACTTATGATGGTAAAATTGTTTCACTTAAATTTTAATGTTTATAGTGACAAATATATACAATATATTTCTCAAAATTAATTATTTTGTTTTTGTTATCCCCAAATCTGTCCTTGAATACCAATTAGACGAGTGCAGTTATACAGTAAAGTTGTGTGTTGATTTTGTATGGGGTAATCATGGTTTGGAAACAAATAACTTCTACTAGATGTTTGTTTTGCTGTTTCAGGTCATGCCAGATTCACAGGTGAAAGAGAAGGTGAACTGGTTAACCAAATTACGATGGGCAATGGGCATCACAAGACCTGCATATGGTTTACCACAGTAGAATAATACACTGCTCAAGTACTCACATATGTACACTGTAATATCATATTGTAAACCTGTCTAAACCAAATACTATATTCAGTTCTTCCTCCATAGACTTAATTGTATAAAAGACCTCTGTAAACTGAACAACTTTCTCAGTGCCTTTTGTGTTTATTTTGGACACAAGCTTCACTGTATATAAATAAGACTTGCACAAAATGAACATCTAAGTGAACTGAATAATTTTCCAAGTTCCTTTGGTGGTTGGTTTAGACTGGTTCTTTATGAAGATTAATTAATGACTGTGTTTTTGTTTATTCACTGAATTTACTAAATTAAAACGCAGTGAGTTTTCAAAGCTCATCATAGAATGTATAAAAAACATATTCAAACAAGAACATTTAAAAGTTAGTGAATATTGATGCAACGTCAATTCATTAAAATTTAACCTTATGAATATTTATCAATCTACAGTTAACGAAATGTATCCATCCATTGTTTCATTAGCTTTTCAGTTATTCTATTTCTAAACTTTCTGAAGTCTGACACTTGACATCATTAGCTGTTTCAATCATTAAGGTTTTCCTTGCAATATCCAGACACAATCTAATTAAAAGTCCATTAAATAAATTTAAATTAGAAATAATAATTTATCGTAACGTGTGACAAAATTAGAGATATGAAGTTCTTAAGTAGAAATTTGTGTGGTGTATCCTATATGAAGATCTAACTGCTGTGAATTTGAATATTTTAAATTTTGAAAATTTATTTGAAGGGAATTTTACTGCCAAGTCGTAGCTGCTGATTACAATCGGTTTTCTCAGTGTACTTTTGTGCTATAGTAGTATGCCTCAAGCAATGTTTCCACTGTAAGGATACAGGGTAGGGAATTAATATAATCTACTCTGATTTCACTGAATCATTAAATGAGCTGCCTTCATCACCAATTTGTTCATGTTTTTTTAATTAATATAATACTGAGGCAAAATTATTTGAATGAGTAATCACATAGTGATGTAACATGGCATATAATGATATTAATACACTCAATTCTGTGTATAGCCACCACCCACAATACTTAAAGAAATTGTTCTTTATAGACAATGGGTCTTTACAGAGGATAATTATTAATACAGGAATGAAAATATTTTCTCAGTTTAAAGAACAACTTATCAACTGATATTTGATGACAGGAAATAAATACGTATGTTTGGTTTGTCTAGAAATAAATTATAATTGTCAGCATGGAGACCGAATATGAAACACTAAATATGCTACTATAGTCAATAATTTTACATTTTATTTTGTTAGATTCATTTGACAAAACTAGTGGCAAATGGACATTCACTAGTAATAGGTGGTTTTCATATAAAGGTTGTCACCATCAGGTTTGACTGTAGCATGATAATAGCTGGGAATTGGGTCGACAAACAATGCATTTTTCAGGCTGTCCAGATTCTGTATGTGCATGTATGTTATGATATTGGACCACATGCATGTTCATTTGGTACCATGAAATCTCTGTATTTCAGTAATTTATCATCATTTGGTTTGTTATAATCAATTTTAAAACCAATTCTACACTGTTTTGTGTTGTGTCAGTGTGTTTGAGAATGGAATTTTTAGCACAGGCAAATAATTTCAACTTCTAAAGGCATGATGAACGTTAATGTTCTCATTGTACACCAACTTGAAGCCTGAATTTACATTTACCGGTATATAAAAATACTTGGGAAATGTGCACCATGGATTTTAAAAGTTTGATGCAACAATTTGACTTTTTTCTATTTTCTACCAGTATTAGTATTTGCCGATTGCCATTCTTGCCGAATCAACATTCTTCCTCAAATATAAGTATCAAATATAAATCATCCAAAAAATGTGTAACAGACTAAATTAATGCAATTCACTGTTTTTTAGCTGTAATAGATGAGTTTGAATAATCTAGTTGCATCGTTACTGAGTGTGGCCACAATCTTGTAACCAATCGATTGTGAGATTGTTTTTCACTCAGTTAGTCACCATTCGAATACACATGCTTGTATGTTGTTTCTTAGATTTATCTTAAAATATATGGACACCAACATTCTATGAATTATATTTCGTTCTGCATTTGTGTATGAATGAATTAAAACATTTCAAAAACTAACAAATACAAAATAACATATTTGGTACGAAACTGAAGCTGCTATAATATAGAAATTGTCTAAAACTTTTCCAGATAAATCACTATCGACTTCAACCCCCTGCTTACAAGCTCAACATTGTGATATTCATAGTTTCCAAGCAACTAGAGTACCTAAACTCTGCTATTGAATTAGGATCTTTGTTAATCTTGTGTTTGATTTTTTTTATACCATGATTTGATATACCACATTTTTATACACGCGTGTATATTGTAAGGTAACCATATCAATGTTTTGGATGCAATTATCATTACCTTCAATTGCATTATTATTTTATATGATATGTGAGTTATTAGGTTATGCACCAGGCCAGTGAATAAGATTATTTATTAGCCACGGTAGTTTTGGCTAATGAATTGGACACCACACCATTTTTTCTCAATACGTTTTGGGCATTATGCATAATATAGGTTATTAAATATCGTGAATTGAGTTGTATTGTAATATGGCTAGCATAAATAACACTAAGTTTATAATGTCAGAAGTGCTTGCTTGATATAAAGACCTTACAGGAAATATAATTTATCACTTCACTGGGAGCTTATTCTAATTAATAAACATAATTTGCATACGAAATGCGTATTTCTGAGAAATCATGACTCGTTTTTCATGTATCACGATTGAAATTTTGATTCAAAAGCTAGACAGTTGACAGAATTGTTTATTTCTGTTTAACATAATGTGGGCATAGAGGCAGTTTGAAGGGGAAGCTGAATTTCCTCGTGGATGACATTCTCTCCATTTTGGACTGGTACAGCTATAGAGGTCAAGCTGAGATTGCATGTCGGTAATGCCAGCTACTCAGTACTCTGTTGATTCATCATTATAGCAGTGTACCACTAATGTCAATACAGTTGTGCCGTTATTGTGGTAACTTGTTTGAATATTAAAGCTTTGATATGACAATTAAGTGTGTGCTGCAATTATCTGCGAAAAAGCTTGTAAATAAAAATATAACTGTTGGAGTCTTTTCATTGTTTGAAGCAGGGGGTTCTTTGGGGAATTTGCATGTATATATGTTACGAAAATGAGCATAGACGTGAGCACCTAACGTTCCACCATGTGTTGCGAAAGGGGAGCACAGTGACTTCGACTTCCTTGGCAGATTACTTGCACTGTAATGATACCAGGTTCAACCCAAAGGAACACTTGAAGTAATCACAGAGAATTGGAGAAAATTTGATCACAGTATTTGTTAAGTGCTACTTAATTTAAATTTTGATATATGACAGTGTTTTTACCTGGTACAAATCATGATTTTAAACAAAATGCCTAAAATGAACGTTTTTGGAACAGTTTCCTTAGGAATCCATGTAAAAACATGATTTCATAGAAAATAAATAGTATTACCGAAATCTCCCAATCTGAGTCGTGACAGTCAGAATTGCCCATCTAATTATTTTATAACAACATACCACTTTATCACTATACGTCACCGAGATCAACACCCCATAGAAACCAATGTTAATGGCTGAAACATCACCCAAATAAGATAAACTATCTTCACTTTTACAGATCTGATTTGTAATAGTATAAGTTTAATGTGGCTAAAAACATTTTCCCCCTCAGCAATCGTGACCTTGATATCAATTCTTCATGCAGTAGTGGCCCTTTCTTGTACTTGTGCATTTTGTTAATAGTTAAAATGTCGCAGATAATGTGGAACCATGTACCGGTATATGGCAGAAACATGGGAATATTACTATTCAAATCATCGCAACAGTTGAACATGAACAGAGTGCAACATTTTATTTTGTTTGGTGATTTACGGAAACAGTAAGATTGTCAAAGATACAGATTGAGAGTCGGCAAAGGGTATATTCGTAAGCTGTAGTCATTATTTTAATTTTCGTAATAATGTAATTTGAATAAATAAAAATCGTAGACAGGGACAAGGTGTAAACTGTAATCAGCTATTTTATTCGTTCGTAGTTTGTACGAAGATCTTATTTTTTGTAAGCGTATAAAGCATTTTCGTAATTCGTACGCAATTTCTAATTATGATTCTTAAAGACAAATTATCAAATATATTATAAAAATGTAATTTGAAATTTTCTTTATCTGTAATGTGTAAAAACATTTTTAATGGAACTTTCATTTTATTTCCTGTAAAAACGCAAAATGCGTTTTTTATTTCCTGTAACCTGCCAGGTATCTCCCCTTGCCCCCTAAATATTGTATCGTTAATGGTCTGCTGTCAGCACCGCGTGAAGATCTAATTATAATTAAACGACTGTTAAAATTCCAATTAACCAACCAATTTCAAAATGGTATTGTGACATCCTCATTTTGTTCTCCGAAGAATGTTTTTCATCTAGTTTATAATGCTCTAATACATGATAGTACCGCTGACTAAACGTGACACAACAAACTGTCCATCGTCGAACACTGCAAAGGTTGAATTTTACATTACCTATTGTTTCGTGTAGCATTATCTTCAAGTTTGTGTCATTATTATTATTTTTCAAATACAGCGTGTTTTTGTTTTGCTTTTTGCGTCATATTGACAATGTATTGTTGGTTTTATTGTTGCCATTGATATATAGATTTAAACATATTTGGCATCATGTGTCTCGCTTTCTGTTCAACTATATGTCTTTGAACAATTCCTTTGGTTATGCGTGCAATCACTTGTGGTTTTCTCTAATATATACTCTGACGCTGTGTGCGCTAATTCGTATATGAACCCAGACGACACTTCCCAACATAACGCGCTTGAAGGAGGTGTCAGCGAGCTAACAATGGGCACAGTCCCTGTTGGTTAGGTACGGTCGGCGAGAGGTAGAGAAAACACGATGTGATACATGTTATGTTTCATGTAAACAAACAATGTATTTTACACGCGTTTTTTTCAGTCTATCTTCAATTGGATCGTTGATTTTCTGTATACATTCAGTTTATGACTACTAAATCGGAGTTGAGACAGTGCCACGGTGTGTAGATTGTTTGTGTACAACTTTGTCGACGTCACGGTGTTTTAAACTTCACCGTGTGGCTTTATTTTACGCTGTTGCTCGGAAAATCCAGAAAAAAAATGTAAGAGCACCAAGCTACTTGTCGAACAAAAAATGTGTCAACCACCCATGAAAATAACGATTTTTGAACCATTTGCCATATGATAAAAAAAGTTATGTAAAAAAATTCATATATGGTGAACACAAATAATAAGATATTGGACAATTCTGACGAATACTACGTACTTGTATTGTAAAATAATGCTTCTGT